AATAAAAAAAAAAATCTGTCATTCTGTCATAATTTACAGGGCTCAGCATTTCACTCAACTGATTTTATATATATATATAATATATATATATATATATATATATTAAAAGGCAGCAGAGTTCAATTAATAAAATGTAATACATAATTCCTCAACATCCTACTATATATATATATATATATATATATATATATATATATATATATATATATACTGTATATAGTAATAGGTCCTGCTAAATCATATATATATATATATATATATATATATATATATAGAGGTGATTTAACATGATTTTTTAAATTTCTTTATATTATATTATAGTATTTTATTCCACTGTACATGTAAAAATGTTTATAATATTAACCTTTTTTTTATAAAACCAAATCACATGTCTCATCCAATCATATTTCAGAGCTGTCAGTTTTTGGTTGAAGTTTTTCGGTTGAAAGGTATTTGCAAATAATAATAGGTGAGTTAAGAACTGTAAAATGAATTTAGGAATACGTGTAAATAAGAAAAGTAGTTTTTTTTTTCAGAATAATATTAAATGGCATAGCAAAAGTTTTAACTATAATTTAAGAGGTTTTAAAGGTAACATGTAGTTTCTCGACACTAGTTGCACTCCTTTCGCGTGTCAACCCTCCACCAAATTAAAACATCGCAGGTGCAGAACCAAACATATTTTTATTTAAACAAAAAAAAAAATGTGTGCATTTTTCTAGATTAATGGGGAGACACTGCTGTCACATCTTACCCCACTCTCCCCTGTATATAGCTAGTCTTTCCCTTCTATTAACCCTTGTTTTATCTTTGTCTTTGCAGCGATTCATCAGACTATGGTGGCAGGAAGAGAAGTTTCAGCAGCGACAGCAGTGAGGATGATGATGATGTTGAAGTACAGCAGACACAGGTGGGCAGAAAGAAGCCCAGGAAGGAGTCCACAGCAGCTCCTCTGGACACTGGACTGTCGCTGGCCGAAGACGAGGAGCTTGTGTTACATTTATTGGGCAGTCGCAGCTAGTTCCTATGGATAAAAGGTTCCTATACCCATCTTCCCCTTCAGAGTTTCTTATTCATTGTAATTGTATGTTGAATATTAAGAATGCCCCTTTACTAATAAAAATGTTCCTGAATGTGATGGAAACTTTAAGATTCAGTGCTGCACCTATCTTTGTGATTCATTGTGTGAGTGTGCAGGTTATAATTTCCTTTCCTGCCTCTTCTCTTCTTTACACCTTCTCCTCCTCGAGACAGGAATTGAATTCTCATGTGGCGTCTCGCCAGACAGCCTTGAATTACCTAAAAACTCCTGTTTTGCAGTGAAGCAAAAAAAAAAATCCAAAAATGCCAATCCTGATAGAGAACCACTGTATCCCAGGTGCCATCTATAACCTTACCTATTACTGTTAAACTGCTCTCATTATTTCTGGTTTGAATATTGCCTTCCTGTCACATTGAACTGTCACTTAATGTGTGATTTACTCAAACTCATGATTTATGCTGGAAATGGAGGATTTTCTTAGAAAATTTTGATTTTGTGGCTCTTGTCCCTGATTCAACACAAATCTATCTTTCTGCATTTAGCTGGCTCATGTCGAGAGGAAGATTGGATTGGGTTTATACTATACAAAAAGCCACCATTTTGCACCAGCATAACGTTGCATTGTGCCATGGTGACCTTATTCACCCTGTTTTTAGATCCGTTAATGGCTTCTCAGAATCCTCTGGAGACATAATTATTCGCCCACTCTGATTTGGCAGCCAGTTTTCCACAATCACTGTTATATAGCCGCTTTCTAACATAGTCCAGAGTCACTCCTGCTATACACAGTACCACAGTGAATATACTTCAGTTGTAGTTTAAGGACATATTTCTATAAAATAGTGTTCCAAACTTTCAGAACACTCTGGTCAAGTTCACTTAATTTCGGATAGTTCCCCCCCTCCCCCCCCAAAAAAATGTTGTCATTGCTTTTTCACCCTCAAGTTGTTCCAAACCTGTATGAGACTGTTTGGTTACTGTAAAATTGTGTTCAACTGAAGAAAGAAACTCATAAAGGTTTTGACTTGAGTATGAGTAAATTATGACAATTTTCATTTTTTGGGTGAACAGTTCTTGTCTCACTTATTATTAGCACAATGAAAAAGATTATTGGCAGGATAGAAAATAATAGGATAGAAATAAAAATCTAAAGTTAATCATTGCTCAGTGAGGGATTGAGTTTGCTTACATGGCATTGTCGACTTTTTATAATATTTACCTTTTTTTAAACGTATTGTAAAATACTAATACTAATGTCAAAAATAATATATATATATATATATATATATAAATTTATTATGTAATAATATATTGTAGTAAACAATAATTTTAAGAAATAATATATTCCTGCACATGCTTCTTATAAAGAATTAGAGATGCTTAAAGGAGTAGTTCACTTTAAAAAAAAAAAAAACTTTTGCTGATAATTTACTCACCCCCATGTCATCCAAGATGTCCATGTCTTTCTTTCTTCAATCGAAAAGAAATTAAGGTTTTTGATGAAAACATTCCAGGATTTTTCTCCATATAATTTACTTTACTGGGCACCAAATGGTTCAAGGTCCAAAAGACAGTTTCAGTGCAAACTGCAAACTGTTCAAAGGGCTTTAAACGATTCCAGACGATGAATAAGGGTCTTATCAAGCGAAACAATCAGTAATTTAATAAATAAATAACAAAGTTTAAGTTTTATAAGCACAAATGGTCGCCTTGCTCTGTACTGCGATGTCCGTTCGTGACTCTCCTGTTCGAACTCGTTCATCAAAATGAACGAATCTTTTCCCGAGTCAATTGATTCATTTCGTTCGTTGAATGAACCAGATAACGCAAAAAAACGTGCATCGCAGTACAGAGCAAGGCGAGCATTTGAGCTTATAAAACTTAAACTTTGTTATTTGTTTTTTAAATGAGCTATCGTTTCGCTTGACAAGACCCTTATTCATCGTCTGGAATCTTTTAAAGCCCTTTGAACAGTTTGCACTGAAACTGTCTTTTGGCCATCCTGGAATGTTTTCATCAAAAACCTTAATTTCTTTTTGACTGAAGAAAGAAAGACATGGACATCTTGGATGACATGGGGGGGGGGGAGTAAATGATCAGCAACAGTTTTTTTAAAAAGTGAACTACTCCTTTAAGATTCTAGAGAGCATTTAATTGGAAAGAAAATCTGAGAAGCTGTAGTGCAGAATAATTGGAAATTAATAATCCGTGCTGGTGGTGGAGGCATATATCTTCCAAATGTGAATTTGGTCACTGTTTTGTCAAACTTGTGCTATCCAATCACATTAAAGTGTACTACATGTCATGATAGGAGTGACACTTTTTTAATGTTTTGACTCTCTCTGTGTAGTTCAGAGATGACTTGTTTGTTTCTCATTTTTTGATTCTTATCACTTATCACCTTTCCCGAACGACTGCAGGCAGGCAGTACTCGTAGTGTTTGTGGTGGATGTGACAGGCGTGCAGCTTGATGTATTATATTTGTGTATGACTGGGTTGCATAGATTCTTTTTGTGTTCTGGGTTTGTGGGTGTAGTCATCCATCACAGACGTGAGTTTATTAGGCGCCTTCATCCTGCCTGGAAAGCTATTTCCCTCGGTGCTATTTCTCCCCTCTAATGACTGTTTCAGCACTGAGGAGTGTGTAGCACTTCAGACATTTCTCTGTAGCAGTCTGCACCCAGAGCTTCATGCACATGTTAATAATGATAGAAATTCCAGATACTAGATTGTTCTTAAATTTAATACTAAATTGTTTCATCATTTATACTCTTTGCAAGTGGCACAAAAGCTTTGTGAGAGAACCGGGATGAAGTTTAAATTATTTTCACTGAAATCTGTCGCCATTTACTTTCATTGAATAAAAAAAGACAAGCTAGGACATTGTGCTATAAAATTTCTTTCATCGTGTTCCACGGAAGAAAGGAAGTCATGGAGGTTTGGAACATTGGATTTTGGATGAACTGTTCTTTTCAGGCTAATGGAAGCAGATTTGAGAAATATTTTGTACTTTTGTAGATTTAGACGAAGCTGCGAAGTGGTTCCAAGCTAGTTGATGTCTGTTGCTTGATGTTCAAGTAAGAATGGATCGACTGCAGTGCCTTTTGGGAGAGGATGGGATGTACCTTAGTGTCATTAGTGACAGAAAAGCCCAGATTTATCACAACTGGTGCCTCTGATCTGGTGGATGATTTGAGAGCGCCCTCCGTATGCTGTAGTTTGTAACATTGTATAACATTATGATGCACAACCTTAATTAATGAGATGCCCAAGGTGCTATTTACCTCGTCTACTCCCTGGATCATAGCTTTTTATTTCCCTGTGGTGCCAACATTGTTGTGAATTATGAAGATTATGTGATTTGAATTGTAATTTTTTTGTTGCTGGGGTGAATGGGTTCACATCTTACTGTATTCTGATTCGGTCAGTGCTTGTGGTTGAATCGCTTATTTGGGATAATCCAAGGCTCGAGTATCAGAATAGAGTTTTCAGACAAAAATCATGGTTTAATAATTATTATTTTAAATATGTAATGGTGTGCCGCCAACGCCAGATTTGAATTAACTCAAGCACAAGTGTCTCTTTTTTTCTATTTTCTTTATGCAGTCTGTGTTGGGGACTTAAAAAGTCAACCTTGATTAATACCCTTTTAGCCTACCATGATTTTTGGCCAAAAAAAAAATATTATTTAAGTCTTATTTAAGTCTTAAATAATATTTTTGGCCCAAAATCATGGTACCTATACCATGATTTTGGGCCAACCCTATAGGGGCCATATTTTAACGATCTGAAACGCAAGTATTAAACGTGAAGCGCAAGTAACTTTGCGTACGGGTCTTGGGCGCTGTTGCTATTTTACCGGCGGGATAAATGACTCCTGCGCCCGACGCAAGTTTAAATGGGGTTGGTCTGAAATAGATTCATTATTCATAGGTGTGGTTTGGGCGTAATGTGAAATAAACCAATCAGAGCGTCAACCAACATATACCCATTAAGAGCAGGTGCGCATGTTGCATGGCGGATTGTTATTATCATGGCGGATTTACCAGGCGCGCGCAAGGAGCTTTCACTGCCGAGGAGACCGACGTTCTTGTCAGGGCAGAGAAGTGACGTTGTATGGGGGTGGGAGAAACCCATGCAGAAACCCAACTTTTCAGCGTCGGTTAAATAGGTGTGGGAGGGGGGGGGAAAATACATTTTTTTTTACATCTTGGTTACCACAATGATTTCCCTCATGTGTTCATATTTTTCCTTGTTATAGCTAATGTAGGCTTTCAGCACCGGACAGCACCATCTCTCTAGTTTAGTTGTATCTTTCTGGGGATTTGTTATAGTTGGCTGTTGTCTCATTTAAATTCAAGTCCATGCGATCCCTCTCTGTGTTTACTGGAGCACTTCATTGATTCACTAGCCGTTGGTGCTCCAAATGTTCCTTCTCATGGGGTTTATTTGGCCGAGTGAGCAATCCTCGTGCGTCATTAGAAATAAATGGCGAGAAATAGGGGACCACGAACTGGATCAGATACGAGACCTTGGGCTGCCAATTACGCGTCTTAATTAAACAAAAATGACAAATTTAAGTCATTTTACCACAACTGCCAGACAAGTAGCCTAACTATGATAGTTTTTCATCGTGAATGGATGATGGGCTACTTTTTTCTTCTTTTTTTTTTTTTAGCCGTGGCACGAAACAGGTTCTCATTCAAAAGCCTGATTGGAGCAGCGCGCGCAGGCAGTCTGACGGAAGCCTTTTCTGAGGTAAGAGCTCACGACAAACGATATTAGTAGTTTTAAATATTTGATCTCTATCTTTCTTTCACAAATGCTGGTTTATGTTATTGGTAACCACTTAACTTTGAAACGTGCCTGACAAAAAAAAAAAAACACGGCATAGCTGAACTAGGATGTTCAAAAACGTCGACACGGATGTACGACACTTTTGCAACGTTGTGATTTATTTATTTCGTTATAAAAATACATTTGTTGTATTACGTACATACCATAAAACGTAAACCTGTCCACGAAAGGTTTTTACAACGTTGAAGGCTCGCAGAATGCGTAATGAATACCGGTTACGTCAGAGAGCTGTGGGAAGTCGTCTTTCCAAACCAACACCTTTTCCCTCACCAGTTCAGTGAACGCGACTGGGCTCTTATATCAGGTACGGATAAGACATTTAATTAACATTCTTTATCCTCCAATAGCAATTATTGTTGTTGTCTAGGAAGTCAGTAAATAAAATGTAAGATCATTATTTACTGTACGTTTCGTCTTTAGGTTTTGAAACATATTTTTCTCCTTTTAAGGGCTGAGATGGAATAATTGAAATAAATCTGGATATTTAAAAGCACTTCTCGTGGAGTTGTAAACCTGAATTCACGGATTGTGAATAATGAAGGCATCTGAGATTATGTGGGGCGCTTTTAATGGGGCGTCCGAGACTAACGGGACGGGCGCGGAGAAAGTTCAGCACGTGCTCCAGCCTTTTTCGTCCACCGTTGCTCTTCTGGTGCTGGGGTTGGTCATTATAGGGATTATATTAATCTCACTGACCACCTACCACTTTCACAAAAGCAAGATGAAGAAGAGGAAGATGCTAAGGGCACAGGAGGAATTTGAGCGGGATAACTGTGGCTCCTCTGTCCCGCTCAGGGTAAAGCCCTCACTGAGCCGCTGCATGATCGCTCGCCCCGCTCCACCGCAACATCCACCGACAAACACCGACGCGAAACAGCGCGAGATTGTCGTGTTTGAAGGAGTTGCTGGATCCTCATTAAGGGCCGAATGAAAACTGTGCCGTTTGTGAATATAAGATGTACAAAAAGCCTATCTTTGTTCACGCTGGGAAATATGATTGGGCTTTCTTACGATCTCCTTATGGACTTTACAAAGCCTGTCCTAATAATGACTGTCCTTTAGTTTAATAACAGCTGAGCCTAATGTGTTATAAATGGAATTGATTTGGATGGGTCTTGAAGTGAGATTATCTGTAGATGCTGTCCAAGGTGCTGACTTTAATCCATTTAACCCCTCAATTTATTTGAATGCTTTAAAACAAAAAGGTTTAGTGTTTTACACACATCTGTCAGCTATAAATGAAAGAGCGGAATGTGTTGATTCAATGTGAACAAACATGGCTGGTGGTGTAAATAGTCACTTAACTAGCACATTCATTGGCTATTACTCTTTATTTGAAAGAAAGAGTTGATTCATGTAACTATACAGCTCAGAGGTTTAAGTAACAGTTATAGCCAAGGCTGACCCATCATTTCACTCCAGAATCTGTTACAGCACACTGCAGAAACTTCATTTTATCCTTTAATTCCAGTTTGCCCCTCTGTGATAATGTCATAATACAGATATAATTCAGTACATCAGTTAAAGGGCCTATTATTAATGTATCATTTAGATTGCTCTGTTGAAGATTACATATGTGCCCCGGTGGGAAACCCAGTGTCCCATGTTGAATAATTAACTTTTTTGAATCACATCATAAAAGTGTAAATGACAATATTGTTACATGAATGAAACAGCATTAAGTAATATTATCTCATTTTTACCTTTCCCTTTTTTTTTAAACTGCCTGAGAACATATAATATATGGATTTCTCACCGGCTACAATTGTGACCAAATTTGGAATCAAATGTGTTAATCCAGATTAGGGGACTGAAACTATAATACTATGAATTTAGTAACTATTATTATTTGACTGTATTTCTTTGTAACTGAAGATGAAACTATATTGCAGAGAGGAACTCGGTCAACTTTGTTAATCCTTTGCACTTGATTTTGCCATAATCAAGCATTTAACAGAACCATGTGTTCATCATGCCAATATCAAAGCACATTGATCTAAAAGATCATCATTAAGATGTTTCTTTCAGATTTATACTCTACAGTTGTGATGATTTTCTTGTACAAATAAAATTTATTTGCCTACACATCATGCAGACAAATTGAGCATTTTTGCCACATTTATTTTTATTTAAACGCATGTGCTATACTTACTCAAAAAAAATAACTCTTTGAATGAACATAAAACAAATATGGATAGGTTTTCCACATGATTAACTTGCTTTATTTCAGCATTATACAATTCTGTTATTCCAATTTAATGTACTTACGTTGGGTCAACTTAATGCATTAAGGTTGATTCAACTTATTTACTATGGTTGGGCACAGCTTCATATTGTCAGTGAATTTTAAAAGGCTCCCTGATATGATTCAAGTATTCAAATTCATAATATTCATTCATCTAATACAATAAATCTTATTTTAGTGTCGCATTAAAACATTTCTAGACTATGACTAAGTATTAGCTACATATAGCACTTATTAGCATCTTTATAAGATTCACATCAACCAAAGTATTGCTGAATCTGTTTTCAGCCTAACCAAATGCTCCACTCTTCTCCACAATTTAATTTAAATCGTACTAATAATTGCTTAATTGTACATTAAACACAGTTACGCACTATAAAGTCTTCCCCTTTTCTCGTTTTCTCAAAAACACATAAAATAACACTTAATTTCGACATTTATTCTCTCTTAATTCAGCCATATGCAAAGCATGCTGGGAACTAACAAAGTTTAGTTAATGCAACACAAATCATTCATGTAATCCAACACAAACAGATTAAGTAATCTTAAATTTGACATATTTAAGTAGGTTGAACACAATCAAATTAAGTTTGGACAAAATGTATAGCAATTGGCTTTATGCCCAGCTGCACTACTTCCTGAACTTCAGCCAGCTCCTTGTTTCCTGTCTGCAATTATTGGCCAAATTGATTAATTCAGGTGTGTCTGATTATTGTTGCCATGACTACTGAGGTCAGGTACACCTAAATTAATCAATTTGGCCAATAATGGCAGACAGGAAAAAAGGAGCTGGCTGAAGTTCAGGAAGTAGTGCAGCTGGGCATGAAGCCCATTGTGTGGCTTAAGCTCATTTTAATTAAGCAATTTCGACAAGCAGCAGAAATAATTTTTTAGTACATGTTTTCTGTATTTCTGGAGTCATGTGATCACTAAGAAGACCACATGCAACTCATGAAAGCTTTTGTTTTTCCTCTGGCAAAGTTTCAGCATAATCCATGCCAAACTACAGACCATCATTTGTGTCTTGTTATTGGAAAGCATGACAATGCAGACCATTTCCAGACATAAATGTGTTATTTTCTTACTAGCCTGTGTATTGTCTTTAAATAAGCAACCCGGTCTCACCCCAAGACGTCATATAACTGACGTTTTGGGACGTCTTTTGACCATACGTCAATATTCGCCTTTTTAGGGCCCCCTTAAACGTCGGTAGATGAGGTTATGGGATCCTAACTCTACCCCATACCTAAACCTAACCCTAAACCTAACCCGTCACCTAACTGACGTTAAAGGTAAAGCGTCAGTTGTATGACGGCCCGGGATCGCCATCTACCGACGTTTAAGGGGGCCCTAAAAAGGCTGATATTGACGTATGGTCAAAATACGTCCCAAAACGTCAGTTATATGACTTTTTGGGATGAGACTGTGTTAAAATAAGACCCACACTGCATCTCTGAATCTGATTATGTGTTTATAAAGGTATAAATCTGTACAACTAATCCAACATTTCATCAGTAATCTCAGAATTGCATTATCCATCTTACAATACTGGGTGATCATGTGAAACTATTATTAAAAAATAGTTTAATTTGAGAGGCTTGATTAAAAATGGCAGATTAAAAACCTGGAATCAGCTGGATGGTGTATCAGGTTCGGAATGAGCTCTAGATGTCAGGCCTATAGATGCAGTGGACACTAGCATATTCATTTTGTTCATGTTAGAAAGAGCTGACTGCTATTGTAACTCTTTATTTGAAAGAAAAAGTCTTGTAAGTAAGATACAGCTCAGAGGTTAGTTATAGCAAAGGCTGACCCATCATTACTCTCTAGAATATGTTACAGCTTGCTGCATACCTGTCAGCAACTTTGCAGAAACTTCATTTTATCCTTTGGGGAAAAAAAAAAAACAGTATTTCACCTGCCTCTCACTGTCACAGCCATTTTGATTTATGACGGGCTCCTCTTGCTGACTTGTCAGCTCAGTAACATGAATTCACTGTTTTTCTCCCATGCGTGGATGAATAAGACTACACCATTTTAAAATGCAGTAACGATGCTCTCTATGAATGTACACAAACAAGGACATTAAATTGATCAAAAGTGACAGTAAAGACATTTGCAAAGGAAATGCTGTTCTTTCAAGTGTTCAATTCATCAAAGAATCCTCAAAATGTAGCACACACTGTAAAAAATATTTTCAAGATTTGTTATCACAGATTTTGTCAAATCAACTTCATAATAATTTATTTAGTTGATTTAACTAAAATTAAATTTAAATTAATTTAATCTCCTTCATTGTATTAACTCACTTTTTCCAGTTCAATCAACTTAAAATTTTAAGGCAACCCAGGTTACTTACTTTTTTAAGTTAAACCATCATTATTTTTTTACAGTGTAGTAATCACAACATTTTTTCTTTTGTCAAATCAACTTAAATAATTTATTTAGTTCAGATAACATATAATTTTGAGTTTCTGATGATTAAATCATTCTCCTTCATTGTATTAACTCACTTTTTCCAGTTCAATGAACTTAAAATTTTAAGGCAACCAGGTTACTTACTTTTTTAAGTTAAACCATCAATATTTTTTTACAGTGCAGGTACATTGACGGTAATAAAAAAAAGACTATGCGTTAGGCAAGTCTGAACCGAAAGAATGATGCAAATTAAAAATTTTGCTGAAAAGCAGCTCTAAAAACGACAATAGTGTTAGTTAGTTCAGTGTTGATTCAGTTCAGTTCAATAACTGAAAAGTTCATCAATTACGAAACTAATTTAGCTACAAGGCAACAATGTCATGATTCAGCGCAGTCCGATTCAGTTTAATAACTGCCGATGTTGCAAAATTCCTCAATATTCAGTTTACGTTTGTTCTCATCCAATAGTGTCAGTGTAATCAAATCAATAATATAAAGTGCCTTCCTCAAATATAAAATTACGTTCCAGATGTCAATCATGTGCACAGTTGCAGGGTTTTTGTTTCTCTCAACCTCACATACCAAGGCTGCTAATTTACTCAAACATGTTGGAGAGAATTCAGTGCCTGCAGGGGGGACGCTTGGCTGTCTGTCTGCCGGGACATGTGACTTTCACTTTCTGGGCGGCCCTTCAAAGAGCTGGGTATTTAAAGCACAAATTTGGAACTAGGCGTCCTGACTGAGCACCTCGGCAAAGGCCTGGACCCCAGCTCTGAGTGCAGATATGACAGATTCAAGCTTTCGTATCAGTGGGGGAGCCGTCAGATTTGGAGCCACCTATGGAGGCAACCGTCTGTTCTCTGGAGCTAGGAGTGGTGGTGGTGGAGGTGTTAGCATGGCTTTGTCCCGTTCGCTCGGCTTGTCGAGGGGGGGTGGAGCAGGAGCTGGAGCTGGAGCCGGTTTTGGCCTGGGAGGAGGTCTGGGTGTAGGTTTTGGGGCTGGTGCAGGAGCAGGACTGGGCGCTCTCGCTTTCGGCGGCGGATTCGGCTTGGGTGCCGGAGGAGCGAGAGCAGCGGGGATGAGGGCAGGTGTGGCTCCTCTGAGAGCCCGTCTGGGAGGCAGAGTCTTCAAAATCGGAGGCTATGGTTTCAACCCGTCCTTCATCAGCTCTATCACTACGGTGGACGCAGGTGCCGGTCCGGTGCTCAGCATCGATCCCTCGCTCCCGTCGTTGGACACAGTGCAGATCACACGCATGAAAGAGAAGGGCGAGCTGCAGGCCCTCAATGACAAATTTGCATCTTTCATTGATAAGGTGAGTGAAAGTTTCAGGTGGGTTTATTTACAAGCATTTTTACAATTGGATTCATTTCAGATGAGTAAAAAGAAAAGATTGATTGAATACGTCACTGCTTTTACAGGTTTTAATGACTATGACTTTGTCGTTTCACAGGCCCGGTCTCTGGAGCAGCACAACGCGGTACTAAAAGCTAAGATTTCTATGTTTACTAACCCGGAGCAGGGAGGACCCGCGAGCAGTTCCATCCTTCTGACCTCTGCCATCGGCACATATAAATCCCAGATTGACAGCCTCACTGTTACTAAGGAGGCCATCATTGCTGAGATTGAGCACTATAAAGGCATTATTGAGGATGTTCAAGCCAGGTGAATATCTCACTGCAGCAAAAGAAATGTACATTCATGTATAAAAATATACAACACGTTCTCATCCTAGGGCGTCATATAGTGACACTTTTGACATTTCGTCTAAATCCAACGCACATGGCACCCTTTAGCGTCAATCTAACACGCACAGAGCTTTGTTCGGTTATGGTAGGTTTAGGGTTAGACCACTAGGAGGCGCCTTCTGGCCCATTATATCTGCGTCTCATATTGAGGTTGCCATGTGCGTTGGATGTAGACGAAATGTCAAAAGCGTTCAAATTTTACGATTTTTTTTCTGATTTATTTTTAATATTTTTATTCAGCAACAATGCATTAAAAATGTATCGAGAGTGACAGTAAAGACATTTATAATCTTGTTAAAAAAAGTTTAAACTTTCTATCAAACAAAACTCAATCCGAAGAATATCAACCACTTTTTTCAGCATTGATAATAATAAGAAATATTTCTTGAGCATAAAATTCAGCTTTATTGTCACAGGAATAAATTACATTTAAAAAATTGTATTCAAATAGAAAAATATCATTTTATAGTTTATAGTTTTTTTTATCAAATAAATGCTGCCTTGGTGAGCTTGGTGACTTTCAAAAGCACCTTTAAAAAAACACAGACCCCAAACTTTTGATCAGTAGTTTAAAATATTGTGTTAAAGAAACAATTGATTTCCCCAACATTAAAGCTAATTTTAGAAGCCCTTTCATTTACATTATATTACAGTGGACATTTGTAATTATATTCTGCTTAACTGCTATTCATGTACTTCTGCCTTCTTATTGGCACTTCGTGGTCTGATTTTAATCTAGTAATTGTACCATAATGAGTAAGGCATTTAAAGTGTCTCAAATTAGTCTGTGTATCTTTGACCTGTGATTGTCGCAGCATTTGGAGTAAAAAAAAGGCTAATATACCTGCACTCCTCCTTTACTCAGGTATGATGAGGAAACCTCTCAAACCAAAACTCTGGAACTCGATTGGACTGCGTTGAAAGAGGTATGAAACATACATCATTATACATCAGATTTACAGATGAACGAGTCTCACAAATTCTCCTCCATCAGGAAGTGGATAATCTGTACCTTTCCATCTTTGAGTTGCAAACCATCATCGGTGGTTTGGAGGATCAGATCGCTCTGTCCAAGCAGGTGTATGACGCTGTGAGTGTGCAGGATACCTTCATGTATTTCAACATACCTCAGCACTGTTAAAATACAGTGAGTTATGAATTTCCCCAATGACCTAAGCTTGTTTATATGTCTGTCTGATTGTGTGTTAGAAAGTGAAAGAGGTGAGAAACATTGTGACAGGTGGAATGAAGTCAGCAGTGTCTATCTCGGTGGATAACGCAGCCCAGGCCCAGGATCTGACCTCAGCGCTGACTGAAGTCAAAGCTCACTATGAAGCCCTGGCTCAACGCAGCAAGCAGGACGCCCTCCTATCAGTGCAAGACAGTGTATGAAACCTTTGCTCTGTTATAAGCAAGCTATTGAAATATTAAAGGGTAGTTCAGTCATTATTTACTCCCCCTTGTGGTGTTCCAAAACTGTATGAATTTCTTTCTTCTAGAAGAAGATATTTTGAACCATGTCAGTCACCAAACAGTTGATGGACCCCATTGATTTCATAGTATTTAAGTCAATGGGGTCCATCAACTGTCTGGTTACCCATATTCTTCAAATGTGTTCAGCAGAATTAAAGAAAACTCATACAGGATTGGAGCAACATGAGGCTGACAGAACTGTCATTTTTGGGTGAACTATCCCTGTAAATAACCAGATTGTATAGGCCTATAACATTAGTAAACATTAAATATTTTAAAATATAATATATACTTTTATATTGTGGTTCTAATAAGTGAATATTTAACAGTTAAACTAAATCTATGTAAATATTAAAGATAATTAATCCTGACAATGTACTCATTTTTTTAATTAACTAATGCATTATTAACATATTGACACTTATAGTAATTTGATGCTTAATATTAATGTACATTATACGAACCTTTGGTGGTGATGATGTAAGACTCTGATGCATCCTTACATAGGGTGACCACCTGGTTATTGCTCTGATGCAGGACAGTAGATGCTATTTTGATGGTAAATTTTAATATTAGCCTATATTTCTTATTGCAATATTGTCATTTAATCTCCCAATTTCGGTGGTCACCCTATCCTTACATGACTTCATAGCCTTACTTGATTCATGTATAACAAACTGCCTCCCCCAAGTGGCGAGTCCTTGTATTGCAGGTGAAATGCCATAACCACATGTTTTGGGCCAGACTGAGATCAACTTACAGCCTCTTTTCGTTTGTTTGTCTATATAGCTCACCATGATGTCTTCATCCTCTCAGCCAAGTTCTCAGACACTCACCACAGCCAAAGAGGAGCTGCGAGTTTACAAACTACAGATTGACTCTGTGCAGAGGGAGATCGACAGGCTCAAAACTCTGGTGTGTATTTAAGTGCGTCACGACAAAGATGTCCGATTGTCCCTTTTTTTGGCTTTCTTGTGAATAACTGCTGCCCTCTCCAATGACAGAACTTACAGTTGGAGTCTCAGGCGGACGAGGCAGAGTGTCACTCCAACTCCCACACGGAGACGTACCAGGATCAAGTTCAAATCCTCAGATCTCAGCTTGATGACCTCAGAAAGGTAAATTCAATGATAATCATTATTAATAATTAAATAAAGGTGTCACTCAGACTCTACTAAATCTAAATGGGCATTTTCTTCAGCAAATTACTCATTACGGTCAAGAATATCAGGAGCTTCTAGCCAGCAAGATGTCCCTGGATGTTGAAATCACAGCTTATAAGAAACTCCTGGACAGTGAAGAGAACAGGTGAGGAGGTTTAACATGAGTTTAATGTGAGGTTTTGTTCACTCAATGATCACATCGTATCTGTCTCGTGGACCAGGTTGAGATCTGGAGGTGGTGTCACCGTGCACATGTCTAAGACCGTGGTCGGAGGAGGTGCAGGTCTGGGTGGAGGTGCAGGTCTGGGTGGAGGTGCAGGTCTGGGTGGAGGTGCCGGTCTGGGTCTCGGAGGTGGATACGGGCTGGGCGGAGGGCTAGGAGGAGGTCTTGGGGGTCTAGGACTGGGACTCGGTGCAGGACTGGGCTTTGGAGCAGGTGCAGGAAGTTCCTACGGTGCAGGGAGCAGTTACATGTCCTCCAGCCTGAGCAGCAGTGCCTGTAAGTACTCATAAATGCTTTCATACGCGCACACCATATGTTGTATACAAATATGTGTAGTGCACTCCAGAGGTCTGAGGCCATATTGAAAATCTGTAGATAGACTTAAAGTTTGTAAACATTATGAAGGTTCATCTTTTCACTTCAATTGTGAATTATATTAAAATAGAAAAGCATTTTTTAGTTGTGGTCTCAGACTTTAGAACCCCACTAGCTTAATTTAAATGGTAAAAAAAAATGGCATTTGCAAATTCTTTGCTGTGAAATGTCAAGTTCGCTTGTAGTCACACTTTCCATTGTTTTCACCCAGTATCATCCACTGTTTACTGAAGATTCATAACCTCCACTCCTCAAGCCACAGCAGAATGCTGACCTCATATGGGGCATAGAAAGGAAGCCTGCCATCACACTTCATGAAGAATGCCTCCCACAAGTTCACACATTTAGAGTGCCGTCACGTATTTAACATATCTTTATGTTCATTTTGTATGGTCATTTTTGACGAGGGTCCAAATTCTGTAATCGTTTAAACAGCAAATCAAAATGTCAATATTGGTTTTACATGATTTTGTTTATTTTCATGCATCACTTCCTGCTACAAAAATAAAATGTGAAAAATCCATCCTGGTCATTACTGAGGAAACAACACAGTGGTCTGTAATCTTTCCATATAATAATTTCAATCTAATCTCAATTCTAATAATGATTAATTTAATACATTGAATAATGATTAATTTAATAAATTATTTTAATTTTAATTAATTATATATAATTAATATTATATATATATATATATATAATTTATTAAATTAATCATTATTCATCTTTTCACTTCAATTGTGAATATATATATATATATACAGTATATGTGTGTGTGTGTGTGTGTGTGTGTGTGTATACATATATATATATATATATATATATATATATATATATATATATATATATATGTATAAGAATGTGTATACATTCTTATATATATATATAATTTGGTCAATAAGTTATGACAATATATGTTTACAAGTATAAAATAATACTTTTTTGATTTGATACGACTTAAATATCCAAGTTGATTGAACTTAAAAATTTAAGGCTGTCCAATTTTTTTTTCAGTGTATATACACTGAAAAAAAATTGGACAGCCTTAAATTTTTAAGTTCAATCAACTTGGATATTTAAGTCGTATCAAATCAAAAAGTATTATTTTATACTTGTAAACATATATTGTCATAACTTATTGACCAAATTATATATATATATATATATATATATATATATATATATATAAGAATGTATACACATTCATCAAATAATATGAAAAACAATGGACTTTTAATGAATTGAATTAGACGTATCATTAATCATTTAACCCTCTTTTTTAATAAGAAATCATCTTGAAATGCAGATTCTTGTCAAATGTATGTCATTGTTGTTGTGAGAAAGCAATGTCACAAGATGTTTAAAGTGGAAAAACATACCCACACACCACCTACAAATGTCTGACTTTTTTTTCAAATGTCATAAAGCTTAAATAATGAAACATCCCCCTAGCATTAAAAAAGCGATGTCTTGCAAACATTTAAAAGCCTTTATAAGCTCAAGACCCTCAAAAAATGTGAGTTCGTTATAAACTCAACCTTTGAAATCACAATCTGCCCTAATTCTATGATTCTCTTTCTGGTTGCAATAGATTTTTCTTTTCTTTTTTCTCACTCTCTCTCTCTTTTTCACAGAATGATAATGAAGAGGGCTGCATTTCAAAGGGATTGACATTTTATATGACAGTAAAACTCACACGTACTCGTGTTTTCAACTCCTGTCTTGTGTTGCTGTGGGTTTGTGGTGGTCTCTTCACCGGTGTCCGGCATGGTTCTGCACGGATGTGGTTGCATTCAGTTTGAAACAGGAAACACTCAGGTTCATTTTCCTCTCTCATTAGTCCTTCATTCGTCTTTAAGCTATCAGAATGAAGACCGGTACCTCAAAAAAGGTAACAGCTCACCAACTAATACACTACATAATTCAGGGGGGATGGAGATGGGGAGGGGGGTGGAACTTTGTTTTGAAAGTTGTCAGGTACTTTTACCACTTCATCGTCGCATTAAATGACCTGTTTTAAATTAAAGAAAGAAATGATTGATGATGGTTTCATAATTTGCATTCTGTGGTTCAGTTAGCTGCTGATAACAAACTCATGTTAACTGCATCGCGCTATCAAGTTCAATCATCTCATGAACGATTCACTTATCGTTGATTTGTGCCATTGTGTCGGAGGGGTGAGAACTGTGTTTGTGGTAATGAATAGATAACACGCTGTAATTTGTTCTCATTCCTCACTCTATGCATGTAGAAGACCATCTTTAAACCTCTAAAAGGATTCAGTTAGATGGAAGAGGATTACATTTTGTAAGAAAATCTTTTTTTTTTGTTGTTGTTTATTATTATTTAGGCTAAGGCATGATTGAAGTCCAAAACCAACAAGGAGTTGTCCTTGGCCTCGTTTCTTTGGCTTGTCTTGGTTGTGTTTATGCTCTCTGTCTGTGCTGCAGAAAGAAATCAAGTAAGTGGTCTGACATCACAACAGCTTTAGAAAAATGCATTATACTTTTTCTCAGCTGCTAATTACCTTTGTCTTACATTACATGCCCTATACATTTTGTCTTTGTCGTCGTATTTTTATTTTGAGATATGCAACAAGAAGACAATGACCTGTATGACCAAGATCCTTGGTAAGTTAAATGTTTGATCTATCTATAAATGTTCACTAAATATTAATTAAACTATGTAATATAATGAATATATTACATATTACACTTAAAGTCGTTTAAAATCAAATCATATTAAAAGTACTATTTTAAAAATGAGATGAATCTTGTATAATTGTTCTTGTATAAAACTGCTTATTCTGATGAGTTAAAGCAATGTAAAAAACACACACACACACACACACACACACATATATATATATATATATATATATATATACATATATATATATATGCAAATGCGTGCCTACAAAAAATGATAAAATAAATAATAATAATACTATTTATAATTTTTGGATTTCAGCATTCTAGATGGTAAAGTTGACAACAGACAATCTAACAGAGGTAAACTATGTCCTCTTTCATCACATCTGAAGAGAAAAACATCTTATTTAGGACTTGAACATTAGTGTTTTTCACATATTTTCTGTCACAGGAAAGCTGACATTCAGAATGCGCTCTTCGTTATCCATGAATGAAATTTTATTCCTATCTTGTCATTTTTTTAGTGATTAGACAAAACCACAGAGAGATGCCTTCAACTTCAAGGTGAGGTCTATTTTACAATAACCAATTCAGCTACTTGCTGTTGAGTCATTTATTTTTTTTAACAGTTCTATTCACATCCACTTTACTCTTTATCTAAAATATCATATTATTTTGAGTGGGGAAGGGGGTGTTTTTGTACATAACTGAAAGCCATTAGAGGCTGTAATGATTAAATTAACAAACTTAACTCTCTTTTCTGATTAGTCGTAATAAAAAGATCAAAATGAAGAAAACATTACAGATGTGCTAAATGTATTTTCACAGGCAATCAACGGCAAACATGCCTGCGAATAGTAAGAATTTCCTATTAAATTTGCAGTGTTTGAACTCCAATTCTTTCAATATGTTGATTTGTAATCATTTGGGTCACTTCAACTGTTTTCCAGGAGGTAACATCCACTGGAGTTATCAGAACCTCACAGATGGTAAGAGTCTGTGTTAATACAATCTTAAGATTTCACTTTTGATTGAATAGCATTTTTAAATATGAACATGTAGCCTAAAGTAATGCGTGTTTTTGCTTCCGCAGTAGAACATGGCATCTTGGAACCAACATATGTGTGGGTGTTGTTTTTCATAATGGTTATGTGAGGAAAACAAGTCAGATTCTAATCAAAGATTTTGGTTTTCAAAAGTAAAGCTCACTCAAAATTATGCCACAGTCTGTATTTGATATGCTTACATGCCTTTTTATTTTTATAGGGACCCAATTCCAAATCCCCTTTATGCAAACAACGATGATGCAGGTAAATTTGTGCTGATAAATGTTGGTCTAACTCAACCGTTGAGCACAGTTCACTTTCTTCAGAAAAATGAGGTCAAGTGACACATTTTAAACTGGATACATCTGAACCAGGGATGTCAAAAAGCAGTTGATGATAAATGATGTCTATTTCAAAAGAGGCCACAAGTCACACGCTGAAAAAAATAGATCATAGGTGCATGATACATTGCACAAATGAATGACAAGATGCTTAAAGAAATTATTTTAATGAAAACTCACGTTATGTTCCTTTCAGAAACATATGAGAATGTTTTTCCAACAAAAGACGTGCAACATGACTCAGGTTGGTGTTTTCAGGTTACAATGTGTTATCCAGCGATCAACTCTAATATAATAACAATATATTTTTAAAATTTATTTTATTTGTTTATTATCCACTATCTTGACTGTGCTTTGTTATTGCCCTTTCAATTTTAAATATATCTATATATATATCTATATATACTGTATATATATGTGTGTGTGTGTGTGTGTGTACACGTGTTACCCAAACTTTTTGTGCGCCATTACATATTCCTGTACCATTACTTGAAAAAAACAAAAAAAAACATGTTTCTTTGTTTATTGTTGTGTTTGGCATTGTTTCACCAGACAGCTGTAGTTATGAAAACTTGAAAAATGAAAGTGAGGAAGGTAATATGTTAATTTTTGGTTTGGTTGATAAAATATTTCTATTAATTCACGAGACAGCACCACTCACTTTGTTCTTTCCCTTTTATACAGAATCAGAATACGTGAACGCACCAACGAGAAAAACATTTGTACCCAAATGAAATGAGGTGAGAATTTGTTTTAATTGATTTTAACATTAGATCTTATGTTGATGTGCATTTACTGTAGCTTTAAAAAGAAGTGTTCTATGATCAAACTTTTAATGTCAAATAATGTTCAGCTCTGCTGATCGATAAACAATGGTTCAGCTTTAGCGAACAAATTTGAATGGACTAGTGCTGTACAACTATTATAAGACCGTTCAATACTTCATGCAACAGAGGAACTTAATGTGTAAATATACATAGAGCTTTTTTTTAAGCCTGTTTCATAAAGGTGAGACAGATGAGTCAGAAAAGTAACCTGTCCTTTCCATCACAAGTTATACAAAAAACTACTGGGGGCGAAAGGTACCGGTATGTTTTAGTAGGGGAACATTATATTATATATAAACTGAAACAAGTCTCAAATCTAATTTGGTGTCTCATTTCCTCTCAATGCTTTAAAATGGTCATTGGCCATGTTGAAAATGAAACGTCTAAAACTATCACTTCAATTTCTAACATGGTACAACAAGGAAATGTTTCGTTGGAATTAACTTGATTTATACATTGCCTTAAATTCGTATTAGGTAAATGGAATTAGTTCTAATAAGTACACAAAAAACAGGTCCTTGAATCATTCACAAGCATCACAAGAATTTTTTATTTTTTTTACATTTTTATTACTGCAACTTGTCATATTTATACAATTACTCAAAATATAAAAGTTCTGGAGATTAAGAACAATGAGGAGAAGTGTGATTATTTGGTGACATTTCTTGTCTTTAGCTTGCATCAGGTGCAGCCGTCTTACTGCACAGTCGACCCAACAGACCAGCCATCTGTAACAGAGAGTTCACCCCTTCTGCCACTTTCATATGCGTGTAGCCAATTTCCTGAAGAACCAAATGTATGATTGCAGTGTGAATAAAATAAAGATTGTTCTATCTCAGAACCATCATTGTTATCAGATACTTTCACTCATGGAAAAAAAAAAACAATAGCACTAAGCCTAAACAAAATTTAAAGCTTCTTATGGAGACTCTACAAGGGCAATAAATACCTTGATATATTCCAGCTTCAAATATTCTGCCATCTGAAAGGTCTTGCACACTCTAAAGATATTTCCGATTATGTCCTCCGGTGAGTAACCTAGTGACCAAAGCTGCTCAATAATCTGTAGAAAGAAGCATTATTTTTGTCAAGTGTCTTTTTTTTTTTTTAAGTATACAGAATATTTTTAAAGGCAAATGTTTAGTGATACCTTGTAGGCTTCATCAATATTGGCATTGACGCAGTGTTCTAGCATGCTTTTAACCAGCAGAGGATGAGGCTCGTCACACACCTGAACAAGCAACACTGTACTTCAATACATTTTTATCCTGAAAGGATTCCCATTGATTAGAAAGCAAACAAAAATAAAAAATACCTTGAACACATTTTCACTGTTGATGTAACCAAATCCAGAATTTGTGGACTGCAAGTTATTCAGAGCCTAGATAAAAAAAAAAAAAAAAAGAAATACGGTAAAAAGTGGCGGGTTAAAACAATGCTAAATCATAATCAGTAGTTGAGGAATTGTGTGATATGGATACAAAAGTACTTTATAATTCCAAAAACAGCATTAATGAATAGATGATACGTAAACAAAAAAATTATATATTATTTGTATGATTAAAAATGTATATTTTTTGTACTTTTACTCAATCAATTGTTGGGGTCGTATAGACCCCGAAGCCCAGAAGTGTAAACAGGAAACGAAGACCATTTAAAGGTTAATATTTATTATTGTCATTATTAATGTTAATCTAAAATGCAAATCATTTGTTATTATGTACATTAATATATACATAAAAAGGTAATTGACCTGACCTGTCTCATGTCCCCTTGAGCGGTGAAGATAATGGCCTCAAGGCCGTCGTTGGTGACATGCAAGTTCTCATTCTCTACCACCTCCGTGAGACGCATCATGATCTGGTCATCTCGGAGTTTACTGTAACGCAGAACAGCGCAGCGGGACTGGATGGGCTCTGCAACACAATGATAGGATCATCCGAAAACCTCTGTATTATGCGTGTGCTGGCATGTACTTTTTTGAGCATGTTTAAATGACAGTTATTTATGTGGCACTTTGCTCACCTATGATCTTATCTGATGCATTACATGCCAGAGCAAAGCGCGTGGTTTTAGAGTAAATCTCCATGG